TCTAAGTTCCCTCCTATCAGTCCTCCAAGGTGTGTGGAGGTGACTTCTAGGTGGCACGGTCGTAGGAGACGATTGGGGCTGAATATGCAGTGATGGCAATGATGAGAGAGTGTCCTTCACCACAGTCCTGGGTCATTACGTCAGGAGCGTGGCTGGTGTGTGAGGGAGCATAAATGGGCCTTCCTCCTGGGCCTTTGTACACCTGCCCAGACAACCTCCTGGCTGTTTATCAGCAACCACTTCATTGAGGGTTAGGCGGTTCCTAAGGCACCGTCTTACTTATGGTTTGAGGTCCTTTTATGCTCTCAGGTGAGGATCTGCCAGGTGAAGTTGGCCTTTATGCAATTAATAAGTTGCTGTGACCTGGGTCCCAGCCTAGGCTCTTTAAGGTTGTTTGGCTTCAGGCAAGCAATGGACCCGAGTTTCCCAGAAATTGTATTTAAAAAAAAATTTTTTAAAGTAGGCTCCACGTCCAACACGGAGCCTAATGGGAGCTCCAACTCATGACCCTGAGATCAAGACCTGAGCTGAGATCAAACGTCAGATGCTTAACCAACTTGAACCACCCATGTGCCCCACCCAGAGACTGTTTTATTTGATTTCTCTTTCCTTATTTGGGGACAAAGCAGTTTCAAACACCCAGGGCCTTCAGATACTATCTTTTAATTTAAATAATTAGAAAATGTGGATCAATGAACTATATTTAAATATTAAGTATATATATATTTCAGAAATGCAGCTATATTAAAGCAATGTATACCTCCCTATAACATACAACTAGAAATAATATCTTGAGATTATGAAGGGAGGGGCTAATTTTTTTTGTAACTACTGGATTTTAAGCAGCTTCTTTTAGGGGGACATTCTTCAGTGGCTCCCACCTTAGAATAAAATTCAAAGTCCTTTCTAATGACAAGGCCCCGTAAGTTCTGGCTCCTGGTTGTCTTTTGGACCTCCCCTCCGACTGCTTTCTCCCTTGCTCCGTCTGTTCCAGCTGCACTGAGCTACTTGTTGCTCCCTGAACCCATCACCTGCCTTTGCATTTGCTGTCCCCATTGCCCAGAACACTCCTCCTCCCAATATTCTCACAGTGGCTCCCACACTTCCTTCATGTCTTTGCTCAAAAGCCAGTTTTCAGAGAGGTCTTCCCAGACCATCTCTCTCATGTAGAAGACAGCCTCACCCCCATGGACGCCCACTGTGCCCCTTACCTGCTATGACTCCTCACCCTCTGTCACACTGTGCATGTGGTTTTACTGTATGTCTTCCTCTCCACTCAAATGTCCACTCTGAGGAGGAAGGGTCTTTGTCTCTTGTTCACTGTTCTATCTCCAGCCCTTGAGCTACTACCTAGTTCACAGTAGCAACAGAATACATAATTTTTAGATGAGCAAATTAATGAACAAATATGACATGGACTTTAAAGCATTTTTTTTTCTTTCTTGGGGGAATGTTGGTGGTTTTGTGAGACGAAAGCACAGGACACATATTGGAGTGCACCAGACAGCTTCTAACATGGCTCCAAGTTCCCACCTCCTGGTAGTCACACCATTGTGAAATCCCCTTCTCCAGAGTGAGGGTCTCACTTCTCATGAATGTAATACAACAAAAGTTATAAGATGAGGTGGCAAAAGTCCAACTTCCCTCTTGCTTGCCATCTCTCTCTGGCTCTTCTTGCTTCTTGCTTTGAGAAAGCCAGCTGCCACATTTTGAGCTGCCTGATGGAGAAACCTATATGGCAAAGAACTGGGAGCAGCCTCCAGTCAACAGCTGGGGAGGGAGGAATCCTGTCAACAATGATGTGAATGAGCTCGAAAGCTGATTCTTCCCCGTTGAGCTTTCAGAGGAAGCCTCAGTTGACATCTTGATTGTGGCCTCATTAAGAGACCCTGACCCACAGAAACTGTGAGATAGTACATCTTGTTGTTTTAAGCCATTAAATTTTAGGGTGACTTGTATTATTAACTAATACATGGCGTATGGTGGGAGATGAGGCCAGAAACCACAGTTTGAGGGCTTTGCATGCCATGTGAAGGAGGGGTAGGCACAATTATGCCCTCCCCTCAACCCCACACACCTATCCACATCCTAATCTCTGAAATCTGTGAATATGTTAGGTCACATGATAAGGGGGAACTAAGGTTGCTAATGAGCTGATTCTAACATGAGATTATTTTGGATTTTCTCGGTGGACCCACTGTAATCAGAGGTCCTTATAAGTGGAAGAGGCAGGCAGGAGAGTGAGTCAGAGAAGGGGATGTGGTGATGGGAACAGAGGTCGGAATGATACAAGTGCTGACTTTGAAGGTGGAGGAATGCTGGCCTCTCCCAGAAGCTGGAAAAGGCAAGGAAACGGATTGTCCCCTCGAACCTCTAGAAGGAATGCAGCCTTTCAACACCTTGATTTTATCCCAGTGAGATCCATTTCTGACTCCTGACCTCCAGAACTGTACGATGATATGTTTGTCTTAAGCCAGTAATCAGTGGTAATTTGTTGCAGCAGCAGTAAGACTCTAACACAGGATTAGGATCCCAGCATGGCATTGACCTTGGGTTCCAGAGCCTGCTCGTGACCGTCCTGATATGAGCCACACCCCCTTGGTGTGCCTGCTCCTTAAACACACATTTCCTTATAAATTGCCATTTATAGCCATGGTTGCTGCAAGACTGATTATGATACAATTGTCTCACTTAGCAAATAACTTCCACAACAGGAACCACACAGGCCATACATTTCTTAACTCATATATTTCGACAGTCTTTGGCTAACTTTTGAGAGAACTAATTTTTTTTTAAGAGACCGCCGGGAGTGGGGAGGGGGGAGGGGGAGGGGCAGAGGGCGAGAGAGAGAGAGAGAGAGAGAGAGAGAGAGAGAGAGAGAAAGAGAGAATCTCAGGCAGGCTCCATGCTGAGCACATGACATGGGCCTTGATCTCATGACTCAGATCATGACCTGAGCCAAAATCAAGAGTCAGATGCTCAACTGACTGAGCCACCCAGGCATCCCTTGACTGACACTAATATACTTGTCTGTTTTCTCCTGTGTCTCATTTTCTGGTATCCAAGCACCCGGACTCTCAATGGACATCTGAGAGGTTTATTTGTGTCGATTATTCTCTGCTGTGGCAGCAGAGGGACGTTTATCCCCCCAGGCTCAATCTCAGGTCTGTCATAGTGCTAAGCTTTAGAGCTTCTCATAAGGCAAGGGTGGCCAGAGCTAGGATTCCCTGGGCAATGTCAGTAGAACGTGAAGGGAATGTTACTCCATTTCCCTCCATGTCTGTTTTTGAGATTAAAGGCATTCCTATCAGATAGCAATGTTACTATATTCTACTATGGGACCAGTGGTTAGGAGAAACTGAGTTTGTCTGTTAAGAATGGAGGCTCACAGTGCTACAGGGAAGTGTTAGAAACACAGTGGAGTAAAGTGAGATTTTGTGTTTGATCCAACAGGAGGAATTAAATGAGAATTGCAAAGGACATGACTTTTTCATGCTGTGATTGCATGTTATTTGATTCCGTGTCAGTGTGCCCATTAGAATATCCTTATACCACGTTTGGGAGACTAGGTCTAATATGTGTGCTTTATTGGTGTTGACTGGTTATTATTGAAAGTGAGCTAGAATCACTGAGAGAGTCAGCAATCTCAAAGGGACCTATTCCAACTTTGTTATTTTGAGATTCAATTTCACTGGTCCATTGCAGGGTCAGTACTTCCTGTTATTTTTTGCTTGAGCTTCCTTATTTTTCCTGATGGACAAAACCAACCATATGTACTGTTTTTTTCCAGGATGCTACCACTTTCTTTTTTTTTTTAAGATTTTATTTATTTATTTGACAGAGAGAGACATAGCGAGAGAGGGAACACAAGCAGGGGGAGTGGGAGAGGGAGAAGCAGGCTTCCCACTGAGTAGGGAGCCCAATGCAGGGCTCAATCCCAGGACCCCGGGATCATGACCCAAGCCGAAGACAGACGCTTAACAACTGAGCCACCCAGGTGCCCCAGGATACTACCAGTTTTTAATCTGTGTTTTTGAGTGTAATTATTAACAGTGTTCACTTTCACTCTTCACAGTGTTGTGGTTGGATGATAAGTCATGCTGTGTATGATAGACAGGAATGGCACTTATAACATTTTGCATATTTATCACCCTAAGCCATTATCTCTCAATTTTGCCTGTAGAGTCTACAAACAGGTCTGAGAGCTGCTGCCCCAGGTGAACAGCACCATGGAGGTCCCCCATCTCTAACTTAGCTTTTAGGATGAGACACAGACCCAAGGGGATAGAATCCATTGCTATCTAGTTATCTGTCATACCCAGTTAATGAAGAATAGGGTGGAGTTGACCCTGAGGGTTGGGGACCAGTACCAGAAAAGCAGTGGTCAAACCCTAACAATAAAGCAGGGTTGCTGGTGGAGGGGAGAAAGCTAAGAGCATCGTGAAGGAAACACAGGAGGAATGAGGGAGACATTGATAAAATAATTTAATTCTGCCTGAAGGCATCTTCCTTTTGGGATTGCTTTATTTAAAGATTTATTTTTTTATTAGAGAGATAGAGATAGAGAGAGAGAGAGAGAGATAAGGAACAGAGTGGGAGGGAGAGGGAGGATGGGAAAGAATCTCAAGCAGACTTGGTGCTCAGCATGGAGCTTGCTGAGGGGCTCAATCTCACTGAGATCATGACCTGAGCCAAAATCAAGAATGGGACACTTAACTGAGCCACCCAGGCACCCCTGATTTTTATTTTTATTTTTAGATTTGTTTATTTGAGAGAGAGAAAGAGAGCGTGAGCTGGGGGAGGTGCAGAGGGAAAGGGAGAGAGAGAATCTTCAAACAGGAGCCCAGCACCATTGATCCCAGGATCAATGACCTGAGCCAAAACCAAGAGTCAGCCATTGAACTGACTGAGCCACCCA